GGCCGGCAGGGAGGGGTGCCCTCCTAGCGCCGGGGCTGCCGGGGCTGCCGGGGCCGGGCCGGGTAGGGTAGGGTACCCAACCCCGACCGTTCACCGCGAGCCGGCGCGGCCGCACGCCCGCGGGCCCGGCAAAGCACGGCGCGCCCACCTCTCCAGGGCCGCGTGCGGGGCAGTGCGGAGGGCGCCCCGCCCGCCGCGCCTCGGAGGCGGCCCGCGGTGGGGCGTGGCGTGGCGGGGCGGGGGAATCGATCTCAGAGTACGCCCCCGGACCGGCAGGCAAGACCTCAGGGTGGGGCGGGAGGGGTGCCGTATTGGGGTGGGGCTGGCGCAGCGAGGCGGGGTGCGGCGGGGCGAGGTGGACGCAGAAGCGCGCCCACGGTCCTGTGGACACCTCTGATCAGTACCAGCGCGTGGTGTTATCCTAAAGGGGGTGAGCAAGTCCAGCATCCGGCTGAGCTATTTCGGTCGGCCCACTCGGTCGTCCATCCCCCGAGCAATGCTCCCCGCCTCTCCTCCCGCCCTTTTCCTTGCCTCTTATTCCCCCAACCTCGCGGCCGTCGGGTGGGAAGCGCCCAATGGTCCAGTCCATTGGCAGAGCAGCGGATCCAAAACTGGCCGCACCACTTCGACCCGATTGATACCGAGTAGCGACACTCACTCATCAGCAAAAATAGAAATGTCCGGCCGACCGGTAAGAAAGACAGTCCTGACGTAAGGAAATAATACTGGCGCGTAAGATCAAAATCAAGGATCATACCAGGTGGCTGATTAACCCCGCGCACTTCTGTAGTTAGACTGTACCGCACGCAGGAGTGCGAGCGGGCTTGCCTATCGCCCCTGTCCACGGCGCCTTACGGGCCGGGCGAGTAGGCAACCCGCCCGCCCTCGTGCGTGCGGTACAGTCTAACTACAGAAGTGCGCGGGGTTAATCAGCCACCTGGTATACCCAAAAGTGAGCAAATGATGCTGGCTACAAAAATTTGAATTACTTGATGCTCGGACTGCGGTATGTTCATTCAAGGGATTCAAGTGCTCGAGCGGGTGGAGGCGCATTCACAAAACAAGGTGCAATGCATTCATCTAGCAGTATATTGCGGAGGCGGCCAAGGAGAGCAGTAATTGTGGCAGCTTGCAGGCGTCCCTTTCCCCTGGACGACAAGGCCGAGTGGAGTCTGTGAGCGAGTGCTCCGGCTCCGCACTCTACTTTCACCAGAGAGCTTCATTGGCCGCCGCCGCCGCGGGACCTTTGGGTCCCTTTGAGTGATGGGGGTGTGATGACACCCGGTCGCAAACTCGAGCTATCCGCCAAGGCGCGCCTGCATACGCCACACGCTCTACGAGCTCTTCGACAATAGAGAGAAACAGAGCTACTGGTGTCGTCCGTCGGCCTGTGCGTCTGTCTTTGTCACTCCTAATGGCACTCAATGAGTGAGACAAAGAAAGACACGCACACTCGGCCAACCAGGCCAACCCGAGCGTGGCTCTCGGGAACCTCAGCTCCAGCCGAACGCCAAGAGGTGCGCAGCCGCGAGTTTGCGACCTCTGGCCTGG